CGACATCCCAGAAACCCTTCATGGATTCCAAGAAGAGTGGTTGTAGATTGGAGGAGAGTGGCAGTCTGAGAGCTTCTTTCATGAACCTCGGATTGACGGGATGACGATTCCAATGTTCATTCATTCTGGAGCAAGTGAGTCTTTTTTATTTTTTGATTTGGATACACTTCTCTGATTTTGCCTTGTTCTGTGTACTAACAGGTCGGAACTTTTGCTCTTTGTAGAAAAAGAGACTAAACAAACGGAACCGAGATTGAGTCCAGAGTTCGGTGGGAAATTAATCACACTTGCTAGTTTGGATAAGGAGGTCCGAGATTATCGCAAGCTTGTTGTCGATTCAAAACTTGAGGCGGCTGGATTATCTCCCGGAGTTACTACTGTCAAGTTTGACCCCGGTAATGAGTCTTTCATATTGGTTGGTTTTACTTGCACTTTTGTATATATCGAACAGTCGTGAATGACTTTGATTGATTTTGTCCACAGTGTACTATCCGCTCCTCGGATTCCTAGGCTATAGCACAGTCAAGGAGGCTAAGGAGTTCAGACGTAAGTTCCCCAACAAGGATTTGCAATCCAAGTTCGGCAAAAGTCGAGATTTGCGTTTAAACAACATCATGAGGAGGGATTTAGTTCGCGCGTTGGTGAAGAAGACTGCGGGTCAAAAATGCTGGTAAAAAATCGACCGAAGTGGGGTCAAGCGCGACTTCGGCTGCCATTCCAGAGAGTCCGAAGTCCTTGCAGCAAGAGGTGACCACTACCGAGGTGCCACCAGTTGTAAGTGCGGTTGCCATTAACCAGGCGGAACCAGAGCCTGTTGTCGTGGGGACAGAAGTGGTTATGGCTGAGGGTGTGCATACCGAAGTGCCACCCTCTTCTCCGAATTCTTTGGAGTTAGAGCAACCGGAGAAGCGAAAAAAGCGAAAGTTGGTGAAGATGGCTGACATCGGTGCTTCTTCCGGAGTGGAGAAGAGATCAAAGAAAAAACACGACTCCGGTCGCAAAGCTGCTGAGAAGGGTCATGATGAATCTCCCTTGTTCGAGAAGTCTTTTTTAACGATCGATGAAGAACGGGCTGCCAATGTTAAGGTGCCTGATGGTGTTGTGGAGGATTGGTTCACTACTTTTCTGTCCGTGAAGTCACCGCATATGTCGTCAAGAATCGAAATGCCAGAGAATGCCAGAAACGCTGCTCGGGTTCCGCTGATGGTTTGGGACCCCAAATCCGAGGTGGGGGTCTCTTCTTTATCCAGCGTTGATAAGCTGAGCTATGCCAAGGCATGTGTGGGCAGGGCCTTGGCCAGTTTGGTGGCTGCCGAGGACGATCATCGCCGGGTTGCGTCGCAATTGGAAGGAAAGAAGGACATCATAGCTGCGCGTGATGTGGTGATCGTCCAGTTGAAGGAAGAATCTGCCAAGATGGAGGCCGACTTGAAGGGCCAGATTTCCGAACAAGCTGCCGACTTGGAAAAAATGCGGACTGAGACTTCGGCACTGTCCGAGGAGAAGAAGGCTTTTGAGGCCGAGGTGGCCGATCTCAAAGCGCGCCTTGCCGTGGTTGAGCAACACTTCAAGACATCTGAGGCTAAATTAGTGGAAACCGAGAAGGCGTTGTCGGAGGAAAAGGTGGGACATGAAGCGGCTCGCAAAGAATGTTCCGAGGTCCGCGAGCTCATCGGTCGGCAAAGAGATGCCCATCAGGCCGAAATGGCCAAACTTGAACGAGAGAAATCGGCTTATGGAGAGACCATGTATGAGATCGGTTTCCAAGCTGGCAAAGAGACCGTGGTGGCCGCGGAACCGAAGTCAGTTGATGAAGCCGAGATCGAAGCTGCTGAGGCCGGTGAGGATGATGAGGTCGGGGGACCTGATCTCGAGATCGAAAAATACCTGCCTGAACCTCCGATGGTTCATTGAGCGTTATGACGCGGGATACTATGACATTGACGACCTTCACTTATTCCTTTTCCACAAGTTGGAGAAGTATGGGTTTGACTCCGAAATAAAAGGGATGCATGTGGTGGCTGATGAAGATGAACGTGAGTTCTGTGTTTGGATGCTTCGTCGTTCCGAAGAGATGAACGCGAATCCGGATCTGCCGCCACTCTCTGAGGATAGGGCCGCTCTCCTCCGACGTGCTTATGTCAATATGATTTTGGAAGAGGAGAAAGAGAAAAGGAAGGAACTGGCCGACGTATACCTTTCAACTTTGGCCGAGGTGGAGGTCGAACAGCACTTCGACGACATGACTCCGGAGCAAATTCAGAGCCGGGTCAAAGCTTACATCGAGGAGAAGGCAAGGTCGGCCGATAAGGAGGTTGAAGTTGTGAAGGTGGTCACACCGGCTGAAGATGATGTAGAGAAGCTGCCCGATCCTCGCGATGATTTCATTCCGGTGCCAGATGGGGCCATTGAAACTGCTGCTAAAGCAAAGGAGTCGCAAGTTCTGGAGCGGCTATCTTCTGGGATCGAAGCCGGGGAAAGCAGTGGCACTGGGACCGAAGCTGAGAAGAAGGGTGATGAAGCTTGAAGTTTTACCTCCTTTCATATGTTTTTTTTATATATTTTGAAATTTATAGTCGGGGTGCCGGCATGTCGGCATCCTTAGTAGGAAGTATATGATGTTTAAGTAAATAATCGGGGATATCAGACAACTGAGTCCCTTAGTAGGAAAATATGTAAGGTAATTCTGACTTATTTCAATATCTATATATATGAAGTGTTTGCATAATTCTGCCTTTGATTTATATTTGCTGTTCAAATTTCAACAACTTTTCGACCAAAGTGTTTTGAACTCGGTTCGTATTGTAAAATGAACTGCTTCAACTCGGAATTATTTAAATCATGATCCGAGTTGTAAGGTTTTGTAAAAATAATCTCCGAATTCCACTTTGATCGTTCATAATAATCTCAGCCACAAGTGCAAGTCGATATGCGAGTTTTCAAATAACTTCGCGGAACTTAACACATTTTTAGGGCTGTACGGGTGATAAAATGGAAGTCACCGAACTTCGTCAGAGTTCGATTATGGAATGGCCCCGACCGATGTTTGTTTTTTATGTTCGGTAACTTTCGGGACCCGTCAAATCATGTGTGTTGAAATGACGTTTGACGAGCATCACCCCCGTCCGAAAATATGTGGTATTCGGACATATTATGAGGTATCAGCTAGACCGAGTGTCGCAATGCTTACATCGGTATGAAATATTTGTAGAACTGAGCTTCAAACTGTTTACATTAATATCGAACTGTTGTTCGGATTTTCAAAAACGCAAACTGACAGGCTGGTCAGTACATCAAAAAGGTGACTTCGTATATTCACCGTGGCAAAAGGAAGGTCCGTACAAACAGAAGGTCGGCTATCCGACTTCGGATCTTTCATTGATAGAACTTTTTCAAAAACACAGCATTCCAGGGATATTGATGTGGTGTCTCATCAGGATGAGCAATTCGGTAGGCCCCATGAGGTAAGACTTTAATGATTTGAAAGGGTCCTTCCCACCGCGGTCTGAGTGGTCCGGGGTCAGGCCCCATTATACGTTTGAGGACCAAATCACCAACTCAGAACGACCGGGGTTTGAGTTTAGCATTGATATATCATTCATTTCTTTGCTTGTAAGCAGCATTCCTGAGTTCGGCCCGGGTACGATGTTCTTCAAGCAGGTCCAGATAAGTTTTTATGTTTTCCGAGTTGGCCTCTTCGGTGAAATGCTGAACTCGGTACGTCGGTTCTCCGAGCTCAACCGGAACCACGACTTCTGAACCGTAAGTTAAGGAAAATGGGGTCTCGCCGGTAAACGTTCGAGTGGTAGTCCGGTAAGCCCACAGGACATGTGGCAACTCTTCAGGCCAAGCTCCTTTGGCGGCGTCAAGTCGGACTTTGAGACCGTTCTTTATGAGCTTGTTCACAGCTTCGACCTGGCCGTTGGACTGCGGGTGGTAAGGCGATGAGAAGAAGTGCTTGATGTTGTATTCTTCGCACAGAGATTCAAGTCGTTTGCCTTCAAATTATTTACCGTTGTCGGTTATGATGGAGTTCGGCACCCCGAAGCGACAGATAATTGACTTCCACACGAAATCGACGACCTTCTGCTCGGTTATCGTGGCTAACGGTTCGGCCTCGGCCCATTTAGTAAAATAGTCGACTGCCACGATAGCAAACCGGACACCTCCCTTTCCGGTTGGTAGAGGACCTATAAGATCAATCCCCCATTTGGCAAAAGGCCACGGACTGTAGATCGATTTGAGTTCTTCGGGAGACTGATGAACATTAGGCGCAAATATTTGGCATTTAGGGCACTTACGGACCCATGCAGCAGCGTCGGTTTTCAAGGTCAGCCAATAATAGCCTTGTCGCAGGATTTTATAAGATAATGCTTGTGCACCGGGGTGACATCCGCAAATCCCTTCGTGGACTTCTTCAAGAATATATCGTGAATCAGCTTCACTCACGCATTTTAAAAGTGGAACGGAGTATCCCCTTTTAAATAAAGTTCCGTTGTCCAGTGTATACCGAGCTGCTCGAATCCGAAGTGCTCGAGCTTCTTTTGGGTCTGGGGGTAAGGCCCCAGTTTCTAGGTAGCGGATAATAGGATCCATCCAAGTTGGTGGTTTTTGTGATGTTACCGGATTGATGGTCGTGACTTCGGAAAGGGCAGTTGACGGTTGTTCTTGCTGGCCGATTTGGACGTACTCCGCACTCTCCATCCCGGTACTGGACGCAAGTCTAGATAAGGCATCTGCTTGAACATTAAGAGTTCGGGGGATATGCTCGAGGTCGGCGGAGAATTTTGATAATTTCAGTTTGGCCAAAGAGAGATAGGGTGTCAACCGAGGTTCTTTGACTTCATATGACCCATTGATTTGATTGACAAGGAGCTGGGAGTCTGAGAAGACTTTGAGGTGGGTCACGTTCATGGATTCTGCCAAATTCAATCCGGATAGCAGCGCTTCGTATTCGGCTTCATTGTTTGTTGCCGGGAAGAGAAACTTCACCGAGTGACAGAATAACCGGTTTTCTGGATCAGCTAAGACTATCCCTGCGCCTGCTCGGTTAGCTGTCGAGGAGCCATCAATATAGAGGACCCATGGTTGATTATCATTATGAACTGTGATGGCCGGAGTGAACTCGGCGATAAAGTCAGATAAGGCCTGAGCCTTGATTGCAGTCCTCGGTTGATAATGGATGTCGAACTGTCCGAGCTCAATGGCCCACTTAACCATGCGTCCCGAGGTGTCAGGTCGGTGCAAGATTTGCCGAAGTGGATATGAAGTGCGAACAGTTATAGAATGTTCTTGGAAATAAGGTCGCAATTTCCGGGCTGCAATCACAAGTGCAAACGCCAACTTTTCCATCGGAGGGTAACGTAGTTCGGCATCGTGCAAGGCTTTGCTGACGTAATAGATAGGTGATTGCAGCAATCCCTCTTCGCGTATCAAAATAGCGCTAATGGCAGAATCACTGACTCCGAGGTATAAGAACAACATTTCCTCGGGTTTCGGCTTTTGCAAAGTCGGGGGAGAGACTAGCGTCTTCTTGATACTATCAAGAGCTTTTTGGCATTCCTCGGTCCATTCAAAACGTTTTCCTTTCTTAATTGCTTCAAAAAAGGGTCTGCAACGATCTGTAGACTTGGAGATGAATCGGTTGAGTGCGGCAAGTCGGCCGGTTAGGGCCTGAACGCCCTTAACCGAGGTTGGGGGAGTTAGCTCTTGAATGGCCTTTATTTTGGCCGGATTGGCTTCAATTCCGCGCTGGCTAACCATATAGCCCAAAAACTTTCCGGACTCAACTCCAAAAGTACATTTCTTAGGGTTTAAGACCATGGAATAAGATCGAAGGATGGAAAACATATCTTGAAGATGTGTTATATGATCTGAGGCGTGCACCGACTTGACGAGCATGTCGTCAACGTAAACTTCCATGGTGTGACCGATCAACGTAGCGAACATTTTGTTGACAAGGCGTTGATATGTGGCTCCGGCGTTCTTTAATCCGAACGGCATCATAGTATAACAGTACAAGCCTCGGGCCGAATAGAATGAAGTGTGTTCAGAATCTTCAGGATCCATAGGAATCTGATTGTAGCCGAAGTAAGCGTCCATGAAACTCATCAACTCATGTCCCGACGTGGCATCAACCATGTAATCTATGTGGGGAAGTGGATAAGTGTCCTTTGGGCATGCCTTGTTGAGGTCGGAAAAATCAATGCACAGTCTCCACAGTCCATTGCTCTTTTTAACAAGAACAGGATTTGAGACCCACGTCGGGTATTTGGCTTCCTTGATGAACTTGTTGTCAATGAGTTTTTTGACTTCTTCTTCCAACGCCTTCTGACGATCCGGCCCCAGTTTCCTTCTCTTTTGCACAACAGGCCGGATTGTTCGATCGAGGTTTAGTTTGTGGCTAGCGACACCGGGGTCGATGCCCTTCATATCCTCGTGCTTCCAAGCAAAAACATCAGAATTATGTTTGAGAAACGAGATAAGTTCTGACCGAAGTGGTTCTTGAAGATGACTTCCAATACGCAGTGATTTATGGAACACTGGTTCATCGATATAGATCAATTCTACGTCTTCTCCTGGTTCGGCCCGATCACTTCGGCTTTTTTCTTTGAACAAGGCTCTGGGGTCCAACTCGTCCTCTTCAAGTAGTGGCTCCTTCCCAGGCCGGCGACCTCGGTCTTCGGTTAAAGGATCCGAGGTGGAGGAATCGTCGACGTGGGTGTTTGGTTCTTCGGAGACCGCGCCGTCTGAAGCGTGTTGCTGTGGGGAAGCTTCATTATTACCCATTGAAGTTGAATGAACTCCACTGGATGGGATAAAAGTAACAAGTTTGCGAGCTTCTCTTTGATCTCCGAAGTGGGTTCCCTCTCCTCGGGTTGTCGGGAATTTTAAGGCGTAGTGAAAGATAGAAACTGCAGCTCGAAGTTTATACAATGCCGTTCTGCCAATGATGGCGTTGTACTCATTATTGATATCCATAACCTTGAAAGTTTCCATGACGAGTTTGGTGGCATTCTCCGAAGTGCCGAATCGGACAGGTAAAGTGAATTCGCCGATGGGCTTTGAGATGCTCCCGTTAAACCCTTGTATTTGATCATTGCAGGGTCGAATCTCGGCGGGATCAAGACCCATTTTATCAAAAGCTCTTAACATCAAAATGCTCGAATAGGCCCCAGTGTCCACCATGACACGATGAACAGGAATACCGCATATAGGGACGGTGATAACAAGTGCATCAGAATGAGGGTGTGCGAAGTGATTAGCGTCCTCCATATTGAAGGTGATAGGACAGTTTCGATTGTTGAGAATATCTCTCAAATCGGTAGTGTAAACCTGTTTGCTGGAGTTGTGCGCTTGTCGGGCATATGCCTTGACCTGTCGACGGGATAATGTACTCCGGGGGTTATTGGTATTGACCCGATGGACAGTGATTTGCATCGGTATAAGAGATCAGTCTCGTTTACGTCCTCGGGAAGTTTCAGCAGAGTTAGAATCGGATGTCTCCGAGGTGAACATGAATACTTCTTTGTCTCCTTGTCGAATGCGTTTTGGCATGGCACCCCAGTCCTCCTCATCATCTTCCTCAAAGGGTTCGATCTGGCGTCCAGAGCCTCGCCTCTGGGGATCAGTATTACGATAGAATTTTCTCAGCTGCGGATGGCCGATTAAACGTAACAATGCGGCTAACAAACTCAAACACTCGTCCGTGTTGTGCCCTGGCGACTTATGATAGTCACAATATCGGGATTTGTCCAGTTTTTCTTCGGGCATTCGAAGTGGCTTGGGATCTGGCAAAATGCCATTCCCTTTGATTTCTTCATAAATAGTGGCTGCTCCCGCCGACTATACAGTTTGATAACTGGACTTCACGTCGGTTGCGTACTGTTTTCGGGCCGCTCGGACTTCAGGATCATTGGGGTCTCCTCGGGGAGGCCCCCTGAATTGAGTCTTATTTTGCTTGTCGAAAAATTTATTCTTCCTTTTTTCGTCGGTTCCCGCTTTAGAAGACTTCGGGTTAAAGTTAAAATCGGGAACTGACATGGCTTCTTCCGCTATGATGTGCTGCTGGGCTCGAGCGAGAAATTCTTGAAAAGTGTTCGGTTTATTTGGGCATAGTGTCCAGCGGAAAATTGAATTCGGTTTCAATCCAGCAATAGCCATGACAAGCAAGGTTTCAGGATGACAAGGTTCCATATTCTGAACTCGGTCATTGAACCGGGCAATATAATCCTTGACACTTTCATCATCTTTTTGAGTGATATTCGCAAGAGATCCTTTTGGGATAAGGCATACTTGAGCCCCGATGAAATGAGATCGGAAAGCCGACCTCAGTTGTTGCCACTTCCAAATTGAATGAGGAGGAAGAGAATGGTACCATTTTTGAGCCTGAGGTCCCAGTGTAAGGGAAAACATACGACACCGAAGTGCGTCTGAGGCCCCATGCAGATCCATCCAAGAAGTATAATGACCGAGGTGCGAGTCAGGGTCAGATGTTCCATCATATAGCCCGATTTGGGGGACTTTGACTTTTCCAGGTACTGGTTCCGAAGTGAGCTCCGGAGTAAGGGGAGAATCGGCTTCCAAATACACTTGCACCGAGGTGGAGGCCCGCCGAGGTGGATCTTCAGGTGCCCGTTGCCGACTTTCCAATTTGGCTATTCTTCGTCGCAGTGTTTCAAGTTCGGATGACTCTTGACGAGCCCGATTTCGTTCAATATGCTGTCGAAGGTCGGTCTGCGCCGGGTTGGAGGGATTTCGGCACTGTGCGTGAGGCGGTGATCGTCGTGAATGACCCGACTGGCTTTCGGCAGTTTCTTCTTGAGGAAGTATCGGAGGATTGCGCCCAGCGTCGGTGCGACGCGTATTTTGCTCCGGAGGTGGTTGCGACATTCGATCACGAGGTTAAGATGTAGCATGAGATGTTGTCCTTCCGCCGTCTTGTCGCGCCGGTGGATTCTGTCGGTTTGCAGGAGTCGTGGGAATGATGGAGTGTCCCGGAGCAGTCGTTGATGTTCCCGACATCGTTTGGGCCATTAGAGAGGCAAAACCACGCGCAAACTCCGGATTTTGAAACAGAACAGCATAATCCGGTACAGGTGGGGCCACGGCTTGTCGTCTGGCAGATTGCGCGGCGCTACGACTGTGGCCGTCTCGTGAGTTGTGACCACGATGATCTGAGTGAGACATGGTGGATATGGCTGGTGTGAATCGTCACTTGGAAAAACGGAGATTGACCTCAAATCACTTATGAGGCCCTCCTTCTAGCGCCAAACTGTTGTTATGTGATTTCTAACAACGATGTAACAAGTGATTAAGATGATAATTATGAACGATTTGGACGTAAAGCATGTAGAAATAACTCAACAATGGCCCCGGTCCGAGGTGAACCGAGGTGAAGAGCCGTGATGGGCTTTTACGCGTTGCATGTTTGATGAATTCGGGGATCCCCCTTACAAATGTCATGGGTTTACTATTTATAGTAGCTTTTTCAATATACATCTTGGGATTCGGGTACTACTTTTCGCATAAAGTGACTTTTGGTGGGCGGTTTGAAGCAGTGGTCCCCACATGAATGATGACGATCCTCGTAGAGTGTGATATGAGTGTAGGCGCCTTGTCACATGCTTAAGGAGATGACGACCTCGGTTTAAGTAGACCTCGGTAGGTATTGATCACCTCGGTTTTCGGTAATTCGGACTGGTTCATTGTCCGGACCGGTGTGGTGGTAAGGTCACGTCGGTTCAATGGTCATTTTCTCTCAACATGATGTTTGAAATCTCTTAATGGTGTTTTGCCGAGTCGGATGATAACAATGATATGCTTGACGAATTATATGGTGCTGTCATCTTTACTAAAATTGATTTGAAAAGTGGTTATCATCAAATTAGAATTCGTGAAGGAGATGAATGGAAAGCTGCTTTTACGACAAAATATGGTTTATATGAGTGGTTAGTCATGCCTTTTGGTTTAACTAATGCACTAAGCACTTTCATGAGATTAATGAACCATGTTTTGCGTGACTTTATAGGGAAACTTGTTGTGGTTTATTTTGATGACATCCTCATCTATAGCAAAAGCAAAGAAGAGCATCTTGATCATGTTCGTGCTGTTTTGGACACTTTAAGAACTGAATCATTGTATGCTAATCTTAAAAAGTGTTCTTTTTGCATGCATAAAGTTGTTTTTCTTGGATTTGTTGTAAGTGGTGATGGAATAGAAATGGAAAAGGATAAGGTCAAAGCTATTTTGGATTAGCCTGTTCCTAAGAGCATTGCTGAAGTAAGAAGTTTTCATGGTCTTGCTATCATCTATAGGAGGTTTGTGAAAGATTTTAGCACCATTGCTGCACCATTAAACGAAATTGTGAAAAAGGAAGTTGGTTTCGATGGGGAGAAAAACAGCAACTTGCTTTTGATCTCTTAAAAGAAAAATTAACTTCTGCACCTATTCTTGCTTTGCCTAACTTTGATAAATATTTTGAGCTTGAATGTGATGCTTCTGGAGTAGGTGTAGGTGCTGTTTTGTTGCAGGAAGGAAAACCCATTGCATATTTCAACGAGAAGTTGAAAGGAGCTCAATTGAACTACCCGACGTATGATAAGGAGTTGTATTCCTTGGTGAGAGCATTGAAAACTTGGCAGCATTACTTGTGGTCGAAAGAGTTTGTGATTCATACGGATCACGAGTCTCTCAAGTACTTGAAGGGCCAAGGTAAGTTGAGCAAGAGGCATATCAAATGGGTGGAATTTATTGAATCATTTTCTTATGTGATCAAATACAAAAGAGGCAAGGAAAACATTGTAGTTGATGCCTTATCTCGAAGGTATGCTTTAATTACTACTTTGAGTTCTAAGCTTCTTAGATTTGAGTTGATAAAGGATAGATATGCCGCTGATTCTGATTTTGGGTCGATTTACTTAACTTGTGAACATGCTGCATTTGGTAAGTTTTACAAGCATGATGGTTACTTATTTCGTGAGAATAAACTTTGTATTCCTAAATGTTCTATTCGAGAATTGCTGGTTACGGAGGCACATGGGGGAGGATTAATGGGACATTTCGGTGTACATAAAACATTGGAAGTGATCATTTCTTTTGGCCTGGTATGCGTGTTGATGTGGAGAGAATATGTGAGAGGTGCATAACTTGCAAATGTGCTAAATCAAAATCAAAACCTCATGGTTTGTATCAGCTTTTACCTATTCCTAATGAACCGTGGGTGGATATTTCTATGGACTTTGTTTTGGGTTTACCTAGAACTAGTAGAGGTAGAAATTGTATTTTTGTGGTTGTTGACAGATTTTCTAAAATGGCTCATTTCATTCCATGTCATAAAAGTGATGATGCTACGCATATTGTTGATTTGTTCTTTCGAGAAGTTGTACGTTTGCATGGGGTTCCAAAAACCATTGTGAGTGATCGAGATGCAAAATTTTTGAGTCATTTCTGGCGTGTGTTGTGGAGTAAATTGGGAACTAAACTTCTGTTTTCTACGACTTGTCACCCCCAAATCGATGGGCAAACTGAAGTAGTAAATAGAACTTTATCTCAATTGCTTAGAGCTTTGATTAAAAAGAACTTAAAAAGTTGGGAAGATTGTTTGCCATTTTCTGAATTTGCATATAATAGGAGTGTTCATTCTGCTACTAATTTTACTCCTTTTGAAGTTGTTTACGGCTTTAATCCTTTAAGTCCTCTTGATCTTGTGCCTATTCCTGTTGATGAACAAGCGAACTTGGATGGAAAAGCCAAGGCTGAAATGATCAAGAAGTTACATGAGAAGGTGAAGCTGAACATTGAGAAGCAAACCGAGCAATATGCAAAACAAGCTAATAAAGGGCGAAAGCGAGTTACCTTTGAACCCGGAGATTGGGTGTGGCTGCATTTGAGAAAAGAGAGATTCCCGACAAAGTGCAAGTCAAAGTTGCAAGCAAGGGGGGATGGGCCATTTCAAGTAATTGCACGGATCAACGATAATGCCTACAAACTCAATCTTCCAGGTGAGTACAATGTGAGCGCCTCATTTAATGTTTCTGATCTTTCTCCTTTTCATTGTGATTCAGATTCGAGGTCGAATCCTTTTGAAGAGGAAGGGAATGATGGGGACCATGCGAAGCTCTCCGTACAAAGTAAAGAAGATCCGTTGGAAATAAACGGGGGACCGATCACGAGGGCAAGGGCTAAGAAAATGAAGGAAGCCTTGAGTGTTCTTATTGCTAAATTTCAAAAGGAGTCGAACCAAATCCCGATGGAAGGCAAATTGATGAATATTCTTCAAGTTGATGGGCCAGATTGTTCGCATAAAGATTGATCAATGGATTGAAGACTAAATTTTATCCATGTCATGAAGCCCAATTGGAGAGTCTATTATTTTATCTATTTTTGGCATTTGTGAGACCAAAATGTCTCTTAAGTTGTCTTAGAAGTCAAAGGGTCATTCAAACTTCATGTTAGCTTATTTATGAGGTCAAAGTTGTGTCTTTATTTTGTCTTGAGTCCCAAAAACGGGATTAACTCATCAACCCTTTTGTAGCCTTTAAAAAGGTCATTTTATGTTTTAAGATAATATAAGAATTTTTGTTGAATATTAAAATCACTTTTTGTGAGTTTGAATTCTCTTTTGTAGAGTTTCAAGTGTTTTAAGAACTTATCAAGATACTTGAGCAAGATCTTGTGGCGTTAACCATACCGAGGTTCTTAGCTGATTATATAGCTAACGGGTCGAGGTTTTTAAGCTCTAGGTACGATCAAACTAGATCTCCGATCTGGGATTCCACTGCCTATTTTATACGTGTGGTTCTTGGATCAATATATCCAACGGGTCTCACGTCTTATCCGTATCACCTTGGCTGGGAAAGCCCTGCGAGCCGGTTATTACTGGCCGAAACTGCGAAGGATGGCAGAAACACTTATGCAAAAATACGAGAAATGCCAGAAGCATGGTCAGATCACTCATATCCCAGCCGAGATAATGATGATTATCAGTTGCCCGATCCCCTTTTCCTAGTAGGGAATCGACTTGGTAGGCCCATTTCAAATGGGAACGGGTCAAAGAAAGTTTCTCGTAGTCGCAGTCGATTATTTTAGCAAATGGGTGGAAGCTGAGCCCTTGGCAAAAATTACTGAGGAAAAGATGATACAATTCTTGTTCAACAATATCTGCTGTCGGTTCGGAATTCCGAAGGTGTTGATCTCCAATACTGGAACACAATTCCAGGGGAAGCGAATCCAGGCATGGTGCCTCGACATGGCAATCAAACAGAGATTTGCTTCGGTCGCTCACCCTCAAGCTAACGGGCAAGTCGAGGTGACGAACATGATTATTCTGCAAGGGCTAAAGAAACTATTGGAGAAGGCGTCGGGAGCATGGATCGACGAATTAACAACTGTCCTATGGGCGTATAGGACGACGCCGAGAACCTCGACAGGCCAATCACCATTCAGCATGGTTTATGGGATGGATGCAGTCCTACTCGTGGAAAATGCACTAAGTTCACATAGGTCGACGTACTTCGAGAAGGAAAAGAACGAGAAAATGGCCAAGGTAGCCCTCGACTTGATCGAAGAAGGGCGAGAA